ACCGTAACCTTCCCAGTCCACCAAGTACTGAAATCCGCGTCCCCGCCGTCTTGAGTCCAGAATGTGGTTAACCGAATAGGTGGGTTCCCCGTCTACGAGACGCTACGGTGGGGGAACCGGGGCAGGCGGATTAATGGGTGAAACGAAAAACGGGCTTCAATTTGGAGACATGGAACACGGGATGAATTCTCCAGTACGCCGGAGGAATTTTGAGGCGGACTGCCACCGGACTAAGAATTTTGGTGACCGAAAATGGGCCAATAAATTTGGGAGCTAGCTTATTACAAACGGATCGGAGAGGAGTATTCTTGGAGGAAAGCCACACCTTTTGACCAACGATGTAAACGGGAGGCTTCGACCGGTGGCGATTGGCCTGAGCCTTGGTGCGCGTCCTCACTTGGAGAAGAGTCTCTCGGGCTCAAACAAAGATTGGCCCGTGGATGACACTGGTGATGAGTTGTGTGCGTACTCCACCCATGAGAGTTGTTGGCTCCAGGAGGAAGGATTCCGAGTAACCAAACATCGCAACATTCTCTCAAGATCCTGGTTGGCCCGCTCCATTTGGCCGTTGCTCTGCGGATGGAAACCAGAGGACAGACTGACACTCGCCCCCAGTAAACTGCAAAACTCCTTCCAAAATTTGGATACAAACTGGGGTCCCCTTTCGGAAACCACGTCCATCGAGAGGCCGTGAATGCGAAAGACGTGATCAACAACAGTAACCGCTGTCTCCTTGGCTGAGGGTAATTTGGGCAAGGGAATGAAATGGGCCCCCTTCGAGAAACAATCCACTACGGTCAATACAACCGTGTTGCCCTGGGAGGGCGGAAGGGCAGTGACGAAATCGAGCGAGATGTGGGACCAGGGTCTCGAAGGGACCGACAGCGGTTGAAGTAACCCGTCAGGGTGTCGATTGGAAGTCTTACCACGAGCGCAATCGGAGCAGGCCAAAACAAAATCTCGAACCTCCCGAGCCATAGAAGGCCACCAGAATCGCTGTTTTACGAGGAAACTAGTCCGATTCACCCCTGGATGACAAGCCAAGCTGGAACAATGACTCCACCGAACGATGTCAGACCTTAACCTCTCCGGCACAAATAATCGACTCGGTGGGCAACCGGGTGGAGGTGTTACCCCTTCTAAGACCGTGCAGACCTTCGACTCGACCTCCCATACGAGAGTGGAGATGACGAGTCTCTCAGATAAAATACTCTCGGGATTGGATGTGCGCTCGGAAAGTTCAAAAACGCGAGACAACGCATCGGGTTTGATGTTCTTAGAACCCGGACGATAGGAAAGTGTAAAGTCAAAGCGACCGAAAAAGAGTGCCCACCGAGCCTGCCTGGAGTTAAGTCGTTTGGCGGACCTGATATACTCGAGGTTCTTATGATCGGTCCAGACAATAAAGGGTACCCCCGAACCAATGACGCCACTCTTCCAGCGTTAACTTGACCGCCAACAACTCTCGGTTACCAATGTCATACTTACATTCGGCAGGTGATAAGTGATGGGAAAAAAACGTGCAAGGATGCATCTTGTCATCCGAGGAAGAGCGCTGGGATAGCACCGCACATACCCCCACCTCTGACGCATCGACCTCCACCACGAACTGACGTGTGGAGTCAGGGGTTACGAGAATAGGAGCCGAAACAAAGCGGCTGTTGAGGTTGGTAAATGCAGCTTCGACTGCCCTAGACCACCTGAACGTAGTCTTAGTGGAGGTCAAGGCAGTCAGAGGAGCGGCTAGTTGGCGGAAATTGCGAATGAAACGCCGGTAGAAATTGGCGAACCCCAGGAACCTCTGTAGGGCTTTACGGGACCCTGGGGTTCGCCAATCCACCACAGCCTTAACCCTGTAGGGATCCATGCGCATTCCCTCGGACGAGATGATGTACCCCAAAAACGGAACTGACTGTGCATGAAACGCACACTTCTCCACCTTGACAAAAAGCCCATTCTCGAGCAGCCTCTGGAGCACTCGTCTGACATGCTGAACGTGTTCCTGGAGAGAAGAGGAAAATATCAATATGTCATCCAGGTAGACATATATGAATTGATCAACCATGTCTCTCAGCACGTCATTAACGAGTGCTTGAAAAACCACGGAGGAGTTGGATAACCCGAAGGGCATAACAAGATATTCAAAGTGCCCTCTGGGGGTATTAAACGCGGTTTTCCACTCATCCCCCTTCCTTATGCGGACCAAATGATAACCATACGCAAATCTAGCTTGGAAAAGATGGATGCCCCTTGCAACCGCTCAAAAGCTGACAACATCAACGGCAAAGGGTAAGTATTCTTTACCGTGATATCGTTCAGCCCCCGGTAATCGATGCATGGCCGCAGAGAACCGTCCTTCTTGGCCACGAAAATAAACCCTGCCCCAGCGGGAGAAGAGGGGCGGATGAGCCCGGCTGCTAGAGAATCAGAAATATATTTCTTCATGACCTCCCTTTCTGGAACAGAAAGCGAATATAACTTGCCCTTAGGCGGAGACATACCTGGCACTAGATCTATGGCACAGTCATAAGGACGATGCGGAGGAAGAGAAGCAGCCCGGGACTTACTGAACATTTCCTTCAGGTCAAGGTACTCCTCGGGCACGTTAGACAGATTCATCGGCTCATTCTGCAACAAAGAAGAAGACACAGATGAACAAGCAGACATAAGACAAGAAGCATAACATGAGTCACTCCACGCCGATATGGAATTACGGCCCCAATCCACCCTGGGATCATGCTGAACCAGCCAGGGATGCTTCTTGGCCACGAAAATAAACCCTGCCCCAGCGGGAGAAGAGGGGCGGATGAGCCCGGCTGCTAGAGAATCAGAAATATATTTCTTCATGACCTCCCTTTCTGGAACAGAAAGCGAATATAACTTGCCCTTAGGCGGAGACATACCTGGCACTAGATCTATGGCACAGTCATAAGGACGATGCGGAGGAAGAGAAGCAGCCCGGGACTTACTGAACATTTCCTTCAGGTCAAGGTACTCCTCGGGCACGTTAGACAGATTCATCGGCTCATTCTGCAACAAAGAAGTAGACACAGATGAACAAGCAGACATAAGACAAGAAGCATAACATGAGTCACTCCACGCTGATATGGAATTACGGCCCCAATCCACCCTGGGATCATGCTGAACCAGCCAGGGATGGCCAAGGACAATAGGTACCAATGGGGACTCCGTGAGCAGAAGGGTGATTTCCTAAGAATGGTTTCCTGAGGTTATGAGGGTGATAGCTCCCGTAGTGTGTGTAATACTGGGAACGTTATGTCCATTAACAGAGATCTTGTGGCAGAGAGGAACTATTGGGATTTGAAGGTGAGATGCCAGACTGTAGTCCATAAAATTACCTTCTGCTCCGAAATCCAGCAGGGCTTGGCAGTTGTGGAATCGGGCTGCCCATTGTAGTCTTACCGAGAGAAGAGTTGAGGACGAGGATTTCTCCAAGGATAATCCACCCGACAGTAACCTCGGTTCTACTGTCAGGCTGGGCCTTTTACTGGACAGTGAACCAGGATGTGCCCCTCAGAGCCACAGTATAGGCAGAGTCCCATAGCTCTCCGGCGGTTACTCTCCTCCCGGGAAAGCCGAACTCTACCCACCTGCATGGATTCGCAATTGGATGTGGGACTGACCATCATACTGGAGTTGACAGCGGAGGAAACAGGAAGTCCCGACCTCAAAGTGTAACGGCCTCGTTGCTCACACAGTTGAAGACGCGTGTCAACGCGAATGGCTAGATCGATCAGTCCATCAAGACCAGAGGGTAACTCCATAGCAAAAATCTCTTTCTGAATATGGACAGCAAACCCATGCAGGAACATGTCCCATTGCGCCTCTTCGTTCCATTTACATTCCGCCGCCAGGGTCCGGAACTCGATGGAATAGTCAGAGACGGTCCTGTCCTCCTGCCATCTACGCACGATCAAAAACCCGTCTCATCTCCTGAGAGAGGGCCTAGACTGAAGTGCAACAGGAATGTTCATTCTCCCACACCGCCGTTCCCCACAGAGCCGCGCGTCCTGACAGCAGTGTCACTAGACACACTAGAGCCACCTTTGACTGTTCTGTGGCGAACGTCACTGGTTGGAGAGAGAAAAACATTGAACACTTAGTCAGAAAGGCTCTACAGTGGTCAGGCTCACCAGCATATGTCTCTGGTGTGGGTAGACATGACGTCCGATGCCTGTAGATGTAGAGGGAACCGGAGGTGGGAGTGGCGCAGTGGGTAAGCTCAGCTGTTGTAGTTGGGTGGTGAGCTCGGACACCTGCGCTACCAAGGCTTGCACAGCCCATCCCGTAGCTAGCATCTGCTCCTCCTGATGATCCATGCATGTATTGTTGTGGGATAAAAAAATTTGCAGGTCCGTAGCATTCGCTGAATCCATAATGTGGTCAGATCGTTCTGTCAGGGAAAAAGAATGAGGATTAAGTAGCGAATGTGCAAAAACAACATTTATTGGGAATTCCCAACAAGGAAGATGATGAGAGTCAGACGGGGAAAGGTGAAGGCAACTCCGGGTAACGCAGGGATACAAACAGGCAGCCGACGCTCGAGGATCCGTGCAGCGAAGCCCACGGCAGAGGAGAGAAGGAAACTCCAGGAACTGGTCAGAAACAGAGAGACGGGAACTGAACATGGTAACAACATCAAACGATCTGACAACACAGGACAGAAAACACAGACATTAAATAGGCCAGCTGATAAGCCACAGCTGGCGCTAATCAGCTGATGGCGCTGACCACCGGCAACACCAACCACACCCACAATGACACGGAGAGGGCTAGAATGAGTCAGTGAGCCCATGAACCATGACAATCATCTCACTGTAAGTACACTTAAGTGGCCTTTTATTTCAGTAATATTATATGATCTGCAAGTACAACTTTTTTTTTAATATACTATTAAGATTTGAAGTACACTACATGTGCACATCTAATACAATTAAGCACACCTTTTTTTCACAAGGGCACCTGTTTGATCTGATTTGATTGCATTGAATAAAAAGTGAGACACTTATCAATGACATTTGCACTCATCTACCAGACAGTGGCTAATATTTACTCCCTAAATCCCATGTGAGTCTCATCCAGTGTTTGTTGAGTGTTGATTTGTGTGTATTAGTTGTGGTGTGTGTTGATTGGGTCTCGTGGGTTTGTTGCTGCAGGTACGAACATGCTGAGTGGACACCACATGCAGTCTAACGGAGATGTGAATGGAGCTCATGCGTCTCAGTCTATAGTGTCCACCTCTCACTGTACCCCTCCCCCACCTTACAACCCCGACCCCAGCCTCGTCAGGTACTACACCCTGCAGTAGCACCAACCTGACACACACACACTAGACATGATGTACGGCTCCTTTTTACAACACTGCGGTTTTAAATAGCGATTTATTTTTATAACATTGTGACTGAGTTCAGCCTGATGTGTCTTATCAACAGTGGCTTCAGGTTGTCCTGTTATATTAGGATAAAGAGACCTTAAAGGGATAGTTCACCCAAAAATGAATATTTGATGTTTATCTGCTTACCCCCAGGGCATCCAATATGTAGGTGACTTTGTTTCTTCTGTAGAACACAAACGAAGATTTTTAACTCAAATCGTTGCAGTTTGTCAGTCTTATAATGGAAGTGAATGGGAATCACGGCTTTGAGAGTCAAAAAACACACACAAACAAAACCAAATGAAACCCTGCGGCTCGTGACGATACATTACATGACGCGTGACGCGTCTTCGTCTTCTTGCTTCACGGAGGATCGCAGACTTATAAGTGCATTACCGTCACCTATCTCTCAAATGGACCACTGACACTCTATCTACAATCTCAATTAGGAGTGTCAATGGAGATAGGTGGCGGTAATGCACTTATAAGTCTGCGGTTTGAGTTAAAAATCTTCGTTTGTGTTCTACTGAAGAAACAAAGTCACCTACATCTTGGATGCCCTGGGAGTAAGCAGATAAACATCACATTTTCATTTTTGGGTGAACTATCCCTTTAAATCATTCAAAATGCCTCTTTAGATGCATCTCTATTTCTCCTCCACATCATCATTTGTCTTTACATAGTTAGAATCATGGAATTATGGTATATTGATGTTTTTTCTTTTGTGCTAATACACAAAAGAGGATTGTGATTGTAATGAACCCTTTGCTTTTAAAGAGGCTTTTGGTTTCTTTTTCAGACTTAACTATTTGTACATAAGAGTAATATCTTTCTAAATTTTTTTCTCTGCTGGTCAGAGAAGCTTTTTGACTTCAAATCACACTTTAGTGTGTAAAACATGTAAACCTTTTTCATTAATATACATGTCATATCGATTTTTAACCACTTTATGTTCCATAATTATGCATACGACTGATCACACACAGTTATTTATCTCATCGGGCTGGATGGGGGTGGCGAGGTGCCTTTCTGGTTAATGGCCTGTGCAATTTCATCAGTAGGGTGAATCTCACTGGTACACCCCAAAATCAAAAGAAAAAAAATAGAAATTATATTTTGCTTGATTAGTTTAAACTTTTAAGCACCATTTAAGTTTTTTTGCATTGTAACATTATTTTCATGACAATTAAGCTCATTCCCCCCATTAAATACTCAATACTGTAATTTTATTATTATTTTTTTGTGTGTAATTCTCATTGTTCTGAATAGTAATTTTTCATTAAATGAAAAAAAGTAATTTTCTCACTAGACTAGTTGTTTAAAGACAGCACAACAAATACTACCATATATATATATAATTTTTTTTTTTTTTTACAATTTAAATAACATCATCTTTGTATTTTTATTACAGAATTGAGAATTATGATAATTAAAATGTGGAATATAAAAAATGGTAATATAATATCATTAAAAGTGATGTATCAATCTAAAAAAATCGTAGTGGTGCTAAAAATATTTAGTTTCTTTCAGCAAAAAGTGGAGTGAAATATGACCCTGTATGAGATGTTCAAGACAGGTTTTTTGAGATTTACCTTCACCCAGATATCTGTTTACATTATTTACTCAGTTAATCACATTGTCATTTGTGCTATTGTCATAAGTCTTATATATTGGCACCTAGAGTGAGATTTATTTTTCAACTAAATGTGTTATTTTTCATGCACATTGCAATGTTTTACAGACTCTTTTGTCACAAATTTGATTATTAATATCAATGTTCCATCTACATTTAATACTTAATGTATCAGGGTGAAATTAAAAGGCAGCGTCTATAATTATGACAAAGCAACCATATGTTTCTGAATCCATCTTTTGTTTAAAATGACTTAAAATGCAGAGATTACACATACTTTCCTCACTTTCTTGTAGTTTTGTTTGTCTCAGTTGCTCTACCTTTAAAGTCACTCTGTCGGCTTTATATATTTACAACATTTCCTGTTTTGATTGTATCAAGCAAATCATTTTTATTGGTGAAATATTTATAATAAAAAGATCAATGCAATGAAAAACTTGTTACGCATCATTAATGTAATTGCATGTTTTGATTGCATTTTTATTTATAAAAAGAAATCATATGCAAATTCAGAAAAATTAATACACAAACATTTACATGTATGCAGCATTTCATTTAACTACACTACTGTTCAAAAGTTTGGGGTCAGTAAAATTTATATATATATATATATATATATATTCAGCAAGATGCATTAATGATCAAAATGTGACAGTAAAAAAACGTTTACATTGTTACAAAAAATAAATTCTAAATTCCATAAATTCTCAATTCTGAACTTTCATCATAGAATCCTGTAAAAAAGTTTCATGGTTTCCATAAAAATATTAAACAGCACAACTATTTCACTGAAATAATAAATATTTGAAATAAGAGTGATTTCTGAAGGATCATGTGACACTGAAGACTGGAGTAATGATGCTGAAAATTCAGCTTTGATCACAGGAATAAATTACATTTTACAATATATTCAAATATTAATATAGAATATATACACATTTTTTCTGATCAAATGCAGTGAGAATAGGACACATCTTAGAGAGAGAGAGAGAGAGAGAGAGAGAGAGAGAGAATCTCACCAAACTTTTGAATGATAGTGTATATTGCATTCACTTCTAGCCCAACGTTTCAGCATTTTTTTTAACTGGTATTTGTATCATCACTGATTTATTCATAATCATGATTACAATACAAATGCTTTATTTTAATCAAGTATTCTAAATACACTCTCATTATCATTCCATCAGTTCTTGATAATAATCCCTGTGCAGATGCAAATGCCGTGGTGCTTTGCTTGTTATGTTCTCCATGGGTGAATATGTAATTCACAGGATGCAGCCGCTTGGTCTTAGTGGGATTCCTTTTCTCTCTGAACAGTTTCTTAACCAGCCTGGGCTGCCAAAACTGCATCGACTACTTCATGTCACAGGGACTCCAGAGTGTCTACCACCTTCAGGCCCTTTCCATGGAGGTAAACCAACAGTTCAGGCAATTTTCATTCTTGGTTGATTTGTGTTTTATCCTGATTTTTAAAAAGTCATTAAATGTTATAAGCCATGAATCAAACCAACCAGCTATGAGGTGAATCACATTACAAACTTTGATTTGAAGCAAAATGTATTTTAAAATAAGAAAAAAAGGGTAACACTTTAGTTTTGTCACGGGTTGCTACTGTGAGGAGCACGGAGCACGGCGTGAGGAACGAGGAGACGCAGAGTCCAATTCAAACATACAATATTTAATAATATCCAAAACACACGTAGCATAGGTTGACATAAACAATTCCAGACAAGGGAGAACAGAACGGGCTCAAACTCAAATAGGGCAGATAACGAGGGGCAGACAGGTAAGGAAGATAACTAATAAAGAGAAACACCTGGAACTAATAGAACTAAATGGGGACAGGAACAGGAAGGATCAAATAAGGACAAACAGGAACTAAAAGGGAACATACATGTGACATTGCTCCCCCCTCCCGAAAGGCGTTTCCCGCGCCGTAACAATACAACCGGAGGTGGGGTGGGCGTCCTGGAGGCTGGTGCAAGACAGGGACACGGGAAGGCCTCCAGGGCGGATCAGGGAGCTCCGGGAGCCATGGCGGATCAGGCAGTCCAGGAGACCATAGCGGATCAGGGGACTCAGGAGGCCATGGCGGATCCTCCATGACCTTAGCAGGCTTGGCCACCACGGCCACGGGTATATGCCCCCCCCCATAAAAAAAAAAAAAAAACATTTTCTTGGGGAAAATTTGGAATTCTGGGGGGGCGCTCTGGAGGAGGCGCTCTGGGGCTGGAGCCGACACTGGAGCGAGCTCTGGGGCTGGGTCTGATAATATTCAGTATTGCAACTATAGAAACAATATATTTTAAGTATACAAAATACATACTGTATATATACAGCAGCATATTTTTATATAACCACCCTAAATGTACTGGGATACAAATATTATTCTTGTAATAGAATTATATTATTCACAAAGGCCATGAAATGGGCCGCTTTCACAGTATGGCATTCACTGTAACTGGCGATCTTGTGTTCCTCAGGATCTTGGGGCGCTGAAGATCCCTGAGCAGTTCCGGCTGGCGATCTGGAGGGGCCTGCAGGACATGAAGCAGGGCCACGATTACGGCCAGCAGCTCATCCGCTCCAGCAGTAACATGGCCAGCATGGCCCTCGGCGCCGGAGGAGAGCTGCAGCGGCAGCGCGTCATGGAGGCCGTGCACTTCAGAGTGCGTCACACCATCACCATCCCCAACCGCAGCGCCCCCACAGGAGCGGAGGAGTGGGCTGACTTCGGCTTTGACATGCCCGACTGCAGGTTACACAAGCACTCCATTAAGGAGGAGTTCGCAGAAAGCGACGTTCACTGAGAAGGACTGCACATCCATCGCTTTCCATGCATCATCCATATTGATTTCTTTAAACTGCGATGGACCGTTTGTATTTTCCATATAGTAGCACTTCAGTATTTGACAACAAATGATTTGAGGAGTAAGAATCTTTGTGCAAACAATTCCCTTTTATTAAAACCAGGGTTCAAACTAATATTTTTATTTCATTGTCGTTTGTGGCCTTATGCTAATATTACATCACATATTACAAATTATCCATGAGCTAAAATGAATTATATATTATTAGGACGTAGTTATGAACAGTTAAAAGCAGTGTATGATTTATGAACATTGCCTTATTTATTTCGGCTTGGTGTAAATAATAATTGTGCAATCATGTATGATATTGAATTATGTGTGACGTAATGCCCATAGATCAAGTGGATGCTTGACCCACAAAATCATACTTTATTTACTTATTTTGAAAAACACAGGTTTATCAAAGCCAGATGTGTACGGCTGGATCAAAAGGCATTCTGTATTTGAATTATTTTCTCATTTCAATAAGTCATACCATACCTATAATACGTTCATCAAAGTTTTACAATGACATTGATGAAGAAAACACCATAAAAGTGAATTTACAGGTTTTTAATTATTTTTATTTTTGAACTAAGACACGTTTTTTTGAAGTGGTGCTTTACACTGCAACTTTTTTTTTATTTTTTATTTTTTATGAATGATCTGTTAAGTGTTGTGTTGTTGAAAGGGAGACACTGGATCATCATATGGGTTGTCAGACTTTTAACGTTCACCCGTTTTGTGGTATTAGCCTTGCAGGACAAGGTTTTATTTATCATGCTGTACTGTTATACTGTCTACTTTTCTTGTTAGTTTTTATGTTTTCATCAAAGAGTAAAATTATGACTCAGCCAATGTATTAAGGTGAATCTTACAAAAACATCCAGGTGACATTTCATCCCAAAATTGCTAATTTTAATATATATAGACTGTATATATATATATATATTTGTCACAGTAATGCATGTAAAAAATAAATAAATAAATAAAAAATCAGCAAAGCACAACAAATAAGAATTTTGGGATAAATGCACTAAATTGTTATTAACAATAAATAAATAAAAAATACAAAAATTATGAAATGGGTCTTTAATCAAACTATTATAAATTTTTTTGGGGGGAGGGGGCTAAAAAAGACCTAGACATAATTTTTTTTAGATTCACCTCTCCAACACTAAACAACAAAGTCTTATAGTGACTATTTAACTTCACTTTAACATCACTTTTAATACTACTAGTACTAAGATGATGACAAAGTTTGAAGTACTTTTGTTCAGCAGACCCACACAATTATCATGATGTGAACCCATCAAAAGCCACTGCTTGTGTCTTGTTTAGGTAAAAAATAATATAGGAAAGCAGAAAAGTGTTCCAGGAACATTGTCTTCTGTGGTATATAAGGAATATATTTATACTTCTTATACCCATAACGTCCAAGGCCCGTCTTGAACATTAATTGTTTGGTAGATTGTATGTAGTCAGAGGTATATTTGTCACCTTTATTTAACAAGCAAATGCATTTGTAAATAACTAGTGTTACCCATAGAATTCCTTGTTGTTCATGTAATAACAGCACATTTTAAACTGGGACACAGGAGGTAAATTGAGAAAAAAATGCTGTTTCTAAATTGGCTGTGATGGTGAAATACCATCATATATATCGAAGCACTTTATGGCTTTAGGATATTGCAAATGATGTTATATTCAAAATTGATATCAGTCAGTATTATGTCATGCTGTGTCATTTTGACAATTTTTAGAAATGTTTTTAAGAGTTAATATCTTGTGTTTTCATTAAAGAGCTGTAACACTGTTTCTTTTTTATATCGCCACGTTTGAATGATGTAAAATTATTTCTTTTTCAAATAAATACAAAAGTGTGCAAAGCAACGTAACGGTGAGGAATCTTGTTTCAGAACGAGAAGCTGTTGTTTGGTCTCTGCTGGATTTCAGTCATTCTACACCTATTTAGGATCAAGTTAGGCCATCGATGAGACGACACCGGAGAGCATCTGAAAGAGCAATAAAACAACTAGATAAAGTTGGTCAAGACAATCTTTGAAGCTGGGTTGAGAAAGCCAGGCCAGAAAGATTGAAAGAGTTTTATAAGCTTGAAGAAAAATGCTTTGAAGTTATACAGTCTATTACAAAAACAGATAGATAGACAGATAGATAGATATATAGATATAGATAATATATAGATATATGATAGATAGATGGATAGATATATGATAGATAGATAGATATATGATAGATAGATGGATAGATGGATAGATAGATAGATGGATAGATCAATAGATCAATAGATGGTTAGATAGATGGCTAGATATATGATATATGGATAGATAGATAGATAGATAGATATATGATAGATAGATGGATAGATAGATGGATAGATAGATAGGTATATGATGGATAGATAGATAGATAGATAGATAGATAGATAGATAGATATAGATAGATAGATGATAGATGGATAGATAGATAGATAGATAATTAGATAGATTTATGATAGATAGATGGATAGATAAATAAATAGATAGATAGATATATAATAGATGGATGGTAGATGGATAGATAAATAGATGGATAGATGTTAGATAGATAGATGGCTAGATATATGATAGATAGATAGATAGATGGCTAGATAGATAGATGGATA